GGGAAGGAGGAGTTAGGCATAGTGGCAAAGACAGCAGGCCTCAAATCCCAAAGCACACTTGATGACATTGAAGAAAAGCATTCAATTGAATATGTGTTTGGAATTCTGATTAGGGCACTGAACTAGACTGGCGTTTCTTAACTTTTTATCATGGAAACTTTCAAACATTTATCAGTGTGAGCAGAGTACACAAATAAACCCCCAATTCACTACCCAGCTTGAGCAATTGTCGAGAACTTTCTTCATTCTCCCCCTACCTATTTTTTCCATTCCACTGGATTGTAACAAAGCAAATCTTAGATATTCGATTGTCTCAACAATCATGGGCATGTTTCTATGCAAAAATAAGTACTCTTTTTTGACAACAGTGTCATCATCACACCTTAAAAACTAAATAATAGTTTCTCAGTATCACCAAATCTCTAGTCAGTGTTCAAACTTTCTTAATTGTCCCATTCAGTTTTTATGCAGTTAATTTGTCTAATTCTGAATCCAAACAAAATCCTCCTATGTGTTTGATATATCTATTAAAGTCTCTTGTAATCTGTTGGTTCCCTTCCAATTTATCTGTTGCAGATACCAGTCATTTTTCCTTCGTGTTCTGAATATTCGGGACTTACACAGTTAACATCTTTATCACATGTCGGGTGGGGGAGGGGGGATATTCCTTTATCTCTTTTATTTTCTACAAACTCAAATTTAGATCTAGAGGTTTCATTAGATTCACGTTTGATTTTTTTTTTTTTCCTGTTGGAATGACTCCTGTGTGAGTGGTTTTATTGGGTCACCTCAGGAGAAGTGCAGTGTCTGATTGTCTCTCTTGTGATGTGAGAATTATTCAGTCTGTTAAAGTGTTGTCAGCTTCGTGAATTGTACATTTTCCTATCAGCTTTTTAGTAATGATGTAGCAGCCACTGATGATTATAACCCGCTATGTTATTAGAGTTGCAAAGTAGCGATGCTTTCTCATTCCTTCTTCATTAATTTGCTTTCTAAAGGACTTCACATCATTAAATATTTCATTACTAAACTGAGATATAGTTCTACAGAGAGCAAGAAAATACGTTTTACCTTTTTATTTCCAGTTTTCAAAATAATAACTTGATCCTCACCACTCTCCAAATATGGTCAATGGGTTGAATTTTATATTATTTTATTTTTATTTTTATTTTTTATTACTGGGGATTGAATCCAGAAGTGCTCTGCCACTGAGCAACGTCTTCAGCCCCTTTGATTTTTAGTTTTGAGCTGGGCTCGCTAAATTGGTGGGGCTGGCCTCAAACTTGCAATTCTACTTTAGCCTCCTGAGTAGCTGGGATTAAAGGTGTGCACCACCACACCTGTCTGGAATATTTTTTTTCCATTTACTTTATGAACTCATGATTTCAACATTTTTATTGCTTTTCAATTTATTGCAGATATTATTCATTTAGATGCCCAAATTGTTCTATCTTTGGGCAGTGAGAACTTCTTGAATTTGTCTCCTATAACCTGAACTTTTTAAACTAAAAATAAAAAGAAATTATTTGGGCTGGGGTTGTAGCTCAGTGGTAGAGCGCTTGCCTAGCACATATGAGACATTGGGTTTGATCCTCAGCACCACATAAAAATAGATAAATAAAATAAAGTTACTCTGTCCATCTACAACTAAAAAAAATTATTTGAGATTATTTGTTTACTTTTTCATTAGAATGACAGAGAAAATATTGGATCTTCTTAAGTTATACTAAAGAGTGAACAGAGACTAATCGCAGTAGGTGATTTTGAAAATTCTGTGAGAAAGAAAACAAAATTATTTATGATTGTACTCCAGAAAGACAACAAAATAAAAGATACTATTACAACAGCTCCTGATGATATTTTGCTTTCCCAAGTGAGAACACTGTGAAGTCTGTAAATCTTTTAACCTGAATCAACCAGGTATCAATCTACCCTTCCCAAAAGAGTTTAAAGTATAGTTTGAGAAGGTAGTACATGGTATTAGATAGAATCTGTTTCCCACTAGTGAAGGAAACCTCAAATTTGCAGGATCTTAGTAAATAGTTTATTTCACTTTGTATTACAAAAGTTGACCCAGGGTTAGCACGGAAGATCTATGGTCATCAGGACTCCAGGCTCTTTCTACTATTTGCTTCCTTTTCCTTAACATGCAATTTCTACTGCATGATATAAGATAGCTGCTCCAGCCCTAGCCATTATCTCAACATTCCAATCAACAGGAAGAGGAAAAAGCTAAAGAAAACGATATGAAGATTTCTATTAAGGACAATTCCACCTCTGCCTTATTCTGTTGGCCAGAAAAGAGTCACATGACTATGCCTCATTACAAAAGGATATGAAAAACATAGTCTTTATTCTGCCTGGCTGGAGGTCCAGACAACCTTCAGGGAGTCAGTTATTCTAAGAAGAAGAAGGAAGCAGATATTTGAGGAAAACAACAATCCCTTCCTCAAGCCATATTCAGGAAAACAAAACACCAAAACAAACAAACAAAATCCTACCTCTACCACTCTTGTGCAGTGTATTTCCATATACACATGTCTTAAAATCACAGAATAGAGGTCATTCAAATATCCCCTTTTCCCTCGTACGTGTCTTGATTACGCAGGAATTTCTGACATATGAAATAAAATTAGAGTGTATCATTAAATGATATTTGACACTCAAAAATAAACTTTTGAGAGTCATACTCCTATACAGTAGTAATGACGATTGTGTCTCATTATTCATCCCTATCCAGCCCATGCCACCTCTGCTTACATCAAAATTCCTTACTTATTAATTTCATGGTAGAAGTATGTCTCACATATTATACCTCAACAATGTTCCAACTCAAAAGTAGATGACTACTAGAACTCAGTATTCACAGTGTCTGCCATGCACTTCTCAAATGACCTACCAAAGAAGCTAAGGATCAGAGAGGGCAAGAAGCTTACTTCAAGAAAAACAGTTTAGTAAATGACAGAGAGTTTAATCAGTGACAGAGCTGGAATTCCAGTGCAAGTTTTTTTTCTGTTTTCAGAGCTCATTCATTCTTTATTATGCTGCTCTGGCATATTCATTTATTTTCTGTTCTTCCACAAAATTTTAGGAAACAAAAACAATCATCTATATGTAGCACAGAGAAACTTCTGTGGGCTCTTATTTGAAGTTTAAAAAGCTTTGATTTAAATTTTAAAAATAAACTTCAAATCTATTTCTGCTGAGAGTTTTATGCTCAGTCTCTCTTTGAATTGCCCACCCCAATTTGGTAATTATCCATTCAACACATTTTCTCAAATAAACTTTTCATATGTGTTTGTTGCTGAGTATATAATGGTGAGTAAAACCACACATATCCCTTACTCTTGAGGAGCATCTAAACTAGTGAGTGTGTAGCTGGAGAAGAGATGTCTCCGGAGGGTCCAAGGAGTTCCCAGAGGGAGGGGGAATTCAATTCAGGATGAGCAGGGTTCCTGGCATATGTGATGGAAAGAATTTCAGCAGGAGCCAGACAAATGCATAGGCAGAGGTTTATTTAGAAAGTAGTTACACATTCAAGGGAGAAGCCCTTTTGTAGGTTGGGGTCTAATATTTATAGAAAGGCTATAATTAGGACGGGACTGGACATGGAGCAAGGTAGAGCCACAAAAAGTTTTACCTGTTTTCCTTGTGCTCAGGTATTTTATTTTCCAAGGGTACAGGCCAAGGACATGTCACTCAAGATTTACAACTGTGCTTTCTGCACCTTAAAGGCTCTTGGGTTGTTTTCTTTGAGACTCAGTATCTCTCTCTCTTAATCTTAGATCCCTATCTCAAGTGAGGAGACAGCCCAAAGTCACCCTCCAGATGCATGATTAATGCTGTTCTGAGGGGAATGAAGAGAAAGGTAGAAGGTGCCTTGTTGTGATTGGTGGATTTGACTTAGGAAAACCAGGAAGGAGTCCCTGAGGAAGTACAGGGAGGCCGAGGCTGGCATTATAATTCAGAGTTAACCCAAAAAAGCAGAGGCAAAAAGACATTCTGGGGCAGATTGAGCAGCATGTGCAGACTGGCATGAGAGGTGTGCACAGAGGGCTGGGGACAGGGGCAGACTGTAGACTGGGGTGAGAACCTTTGAGCAAGAAGTGAGGGAGCCAAAGAGGAACCCTGCAGTGCCTTGTCTAGAGCCACTGTTATTCACTTTCACAGATGAAAAAAAAAAAAAAAGACTCAGCACCACTGAATAATTTGCCTGTGGCCTCACAGCTGGTTCCAGTGGTAGATCAGGAGAGAGTAATGGCCCCTGTAAGACCCATGTCCTAATCCCCAGAACCTCTGTGTATGCTAGGTTACATGGCAAAGGGGAATTAAAGTAGAAAAGAGAATGAGGTTGTTATCAGCTGACTTCAAATAGGACTTTCCTAGATGATCCTAGATTGAATGGACCCAGTATAACCACAAGGGTCAAAAGTGGAGGAGGGAAGAAGAGGTTTCCAAGGAGGACTGGACCTGTGACTGTTGGCTATGAGCTGGAGGAGTATGGGTGTCCTTCAGAAGCTGGGACGGTCAAGGACACATATTTTCTGATAAAGATCCTGGGGAAAGGGTCACAGCTCATTGACAATTTGATTTTAGCCCAGTGAGACCCATTCCAAACTTCTGAATTACAAAATTGTGAGACAATTAATTTGCATTACTTGAAGTCACTAAGTCTGTAGCAATTTGTTACAGTGGCAACAGGAAACTTATACCCAAGCTGGGCTCCATGGGCTCCAGAACCCACATTCTTAATTCCTGTGCTAGATGTCTTAACTGTTGGGTGGGCTAAACCAGGAACTATGACAATAAACATCAAATAGCTAATATAATTTTGACTCTAAGTTTCTTCAAACATCATTTCCAAACCATGTAGCAAAGGGTATATATATATTTTTATATGTGCCTCTTAGTTTTGTGAATTTCGAAAGGATGTGGTTATGGCCTTTGACATCAGAAGAGAAGCTCCGCATTGACTGAGGGTTGATAAAACGATAACGTTGGAGGTGAGGTGCCTCTGAGCAGCTCTCTGAAGATCAACTGCCTGCCTGTCACATTCCTTTCCCAGAGGCTGTTTGCTCTGGTTGTGCTAAGGGGTGATGCCTAAGACGCATCACTTTTCAAGAACTGGATCATGAACAACTTGATCCTCCTGGAAGAACAGCTGATCAAGAAATCCCAACAAAAGAGAAGAACTTCTCCCTCTAATTTTAAAGTCCGCTTCTTTGTTTTAACCAAAACGAGCCTGGCATACTTTGAGGATCGTCATGGGGTATGTAAGACTTTCTTTTGTCTTTTTTTTTTTTTTTTTACAATATGTTATATTTAGACTTCACTGACTCTGAAAGATATACATGGAATAAAATAGAACATGGAACCCAAGCATGCTGGGTTTAATAAGCAAAGAGCACAGTAGGGAAATCAGTGGAGAATGTAGAGAGGAGTCAAGAGGTCAGATGTTGTACTTGGTGATTTCACTTCCAAAAACTACAACTTTAACGTTCATCAGCTTTTTTCCCCTACAAAATAATAATATTTCATGTGACAAATGTTATGATTGGATAGAACTTCAACTTTGTATGAAATATACTACATTCTATGGAACATAGACTAGTAAAATATTGTACTTGGTGGGGCCTCAAGAATAATTTAGCCCAATGTTTTTATTTTACAGTAGAAAAAAATAGTACTTGGAATGGTTAAGTGGTAGGTACAGTATTAAAACATGTTTACGAATTCAACTCTTTGTTTTAATGGACAACACTTCCATGATATCTTAGAATTGTTTCCCAAGCATTTAATAGTCTAAAATTTGCAAGGCACAATTGCAGACCTCTTTATCCCTTGGAAAACATCACAGAAGACTAGGCATATTGAGCCATGGTGTTCTGCATGCAGACCAGTGGTTCTTACATAGGGGATCGTGGCTGCTTATCTAGGCCAGTCTTTGATATATCTGAAGACATTTTCATATTCCATAGCATCTGTAATTACAAAAGAAAAAAATCAATGAACACAGCAATGTACTTTGACAGATAAAGCACTAGATGAGGAGTGAGGAGACCAAACTCTGCTTCTCATTAAGTGATAAAGTCTGGACAAATGTCTATCTCCTGTGTCAGGTTTTTTTTTTTTTTTTTTTTTTTTTTTTAATTAAAGGACTAGAAATTACCTAACAAAATCCCTTCCTTCTTTAAAAATCCTTTGTTTCTATGTAGTGGCTCTTGTTTAGCCATTCTCAGCAATTCCTCAAAGCATGTTTGGGACTTCTTATTATATCATTATATTGCTTTTAAATCACTAGAGAGGTAGGGGGAGATTGTTGTTTATATTTTACTGAAGGGGAAACTCTATTAGGTGCTTGATGGTTACTTAGAGATAAAGGTGCTCTGATTCCCCATGGGTGTATGACTTAGGAATTGCAGGAATGAGTTTGGAGTCTTTGGAGAGCCAGGTTTTCAAATGTTCAATGAAGTGTAGTCCTGGAGGAGGTGGCTGGCTCTAGAGCCAATGGATGCCTGGCTTTTTACAGTTTCAGGTGAAATATCACTAGCTTGTCTTTAGAAAAGAATTGGTCATCTTCAGCAGACTCTTACTAATATTTTAGAAGTTAAGCACAAATCACATGGAATTACCTATGTGCAAGGGCCCCTTGATAGGTGACCAGGAGCCAAGTTTTGAACTTAAGGGATTCATTGTATATACCTAATAAATCACATAGCCTAAGTCAATTTTTAGTGTATATGTGTGTGTGACCTAATGTTTCCATTAGGTTATATAGGACATATGCACAATCATCAAATTTCTTGTTTTTTAACACCAGTGATTAATATCCACAAATAATGTTTTTTAAAAATTTTCTTTAAATATGATCGAAATCTATTAGTAAGAAAGTTATCCAAGGTCACTGAAAAATGAATGTGAATTATTGTTGTGTATTCCCTATATAAATCACATAGTTTGAGGTCATCAATTTGCACACAAGAGTATACTGTACATCACTCATAAATAAACAGCATTACCCTTGTGGAAAGAACCCTTTTATTTTTTAATTAAACCCTTAGTCTTCTCATCTTAAAATGGGTGTGGTAAGAGTATCCATTTCATAAAATGGCAAAGAATCAGATAATATATTTATGCCCAACTATTTGAGATTACCACTTAGCAGATAATAAAAGTCAGATGTTGGCAATTTCATATAGTTCAACTTAGTTCGTAAGCTACTTAATGTATCTTGTCACATAGTCAGCACCTAGTAAAACTTAGCCATTTTTGTATCATTTTTATATCTTTGAAGAAGCTGGCAGGGTGATATAACATAATCATCTTCAAATAATAGGAAATATTAAAAGAATCTTCAAAGCCAAGCTAAGACCAGGGTCCTGGACTTCTATTCTATGGTTAAATGTAAGCATGCGGGGAGACAGACATGCATCAGGAGCTGTACACTCCTGGTCAGCCCCTCTTAGGGTCTCAGCTTCTCTTTTTTGCATTTTTGAAATTATATTCCCAGCAGTTCTAATCTTCTGTCAATTTATAAAACTGTATGAAAATAACCCCTTACATACTCAAGAATAAATTCTGTACATTGTTTATTCTAAACTTTAAATATCCATTCTTCTTGTCATTACATTGCTAATTGAATGAGCCTTTTATTTTAACAAGTGTTCAGTTTTGGTGTCAGATGGCTGTTTCCCTTATTGAGATGTGCTATACAAGTTTTTCAGAGGGGCCGGGAAGACCTTTCATCCTACTGAAGCAGGGGTCAAAAAGACGCATAGAGTTGGCAGGTGGTGACTCGAGGGTAGGAATGATTCTATGTTCTTCCTATGCCTGCCAATTTCCTTGCAAAATAGTCTCTGGTGGCTGAAATTCTTTTTTTTTTTTTTTTTTTTTGGTACCAGGGATTGAACACAGAGGTGCTTAACTAAGCCTCATCCCCAGCCTTTTTTTTTTTTTAATTTGAGACAGGTTCTTGCTAAATTATTTAAACCTTGCAAAGTTGCTGAGGCTGGTTTCGAACCTGTGATCCTCCTACCTCTTGCCTCAGCCTTGCAAGCCACCAGGATTACAGACAGGCTGGAATTCTTTTACAGAGGACAAGGAGAGATAAAAGACTGGTACTTAGCTCATAAAATATATAACAATGTTAGTGATGAGAGCAGAGGTGTTGAGAAGCCCTCCCTCATAGTTTTTATGGATTTCTCTGTAAAAAATGATCCCATCATGGCCATTTTAGATTACCAATGTGATGTGTCTACTAGCTCACAAATTCCTGGAAATTTACCAATCAGCCAGTGCAAGCTGAACCTATCACATTACAGGCAGACTTAAGTAAAATAATCTCTGGAGAAGTAATCACCAACTGAACAATATACTCAGTTGCATGTGATTGATACCAGATCTTCTTCAGGGGTAAAAGAAAAAAATGGACGACCTCTGGCTCACTTTGAGTAAGAACATAATGGAAAAAGTAGCATCCATGGAGAAAAGCATCACAGATTGGTGAGGCCAGTGTAGCCAAGTAGAGCTGGATTCAAATCCTTCTTTACTTTCTGGAAATGCCTCTTTCTTATTGTAAAAACTCAACACTGCTTGTTCCAAGAGATGTCAAGTAAATCATGAAAAAGTTTGTTACAAGCTTCAGGCTAATTGCGACATAGTAAGGTCATTATTATTCAGTTTTGCCCAAGCACCACCTTGAACTTCTGAAAGACCCTTGGGAGAACTGAGAAGGTTTTTCTATTGTATTGCTTCTTTGCACCTTAAGGATCAAGCTTGTAGTGCTTCCTATGGTGTGGGAGCCATTATCACTTACATGGGATGAAGCATATCTTATAACCTGTGTCCTCCCTCAATGAAATATGGCAGGTGTGGAGGTGGTCCCTTTTCCTTGCTTTAGGAAACATTATTGCATAGTGGTCAAAACAAACAAACAAACAAACAAACAGCTTCTGGTGTCATATAGATCTGGATCAAAGACCAGCTTTACTGCTTGAGCTGTGACTCTCTGTAAACCCCATGATGCTGTAAGATTCTCTTTTAAAATCCTCCTATCTCAGCCTCTTGAGCCACTAGGATTATGGGCGTGCCTGGTGCAATGGCCTATTTTTTAATTGGCTTGTTCTCAAACTATTGTATATACAAACGCATACACAAACACACATACCCTGGATATAAGTTCTTTATTAGATATGTGGTTTGTAAATATTTTCTCTCAACCCCTGGCTAAGGTAAGATCATCATTATTCTAATGACAATAAAGTAATAACACTTACTGAGCACTTCTATGTGTCAAACACTGTGCCAAATGTGAATTATTTCATCTAATCCTTATATTCACTTTGTAAGTTAAGAACTATTATTACCCTCATTTATAGATTAGAAAATGGAGAAGGCGGCTTAAGTAACTTGCCTGAGGTCTCTTATGTCTCCAAAGGCTACAGGACTCCCAAACAAACGGTGCCTATTGTTACTAGCATTTGTTACTGGTTAGTAATTGGGAACTGGACTGGTTTATGACAAAGTGTGTGGTGTGTTCCTTCTCTGAAGTCTTCAATGCAAAGGGTGTTCCTGAAAATCACCACTCCATGCTCCCCGGTCTCTTGCAATGAAGTATGTTATGAGTTTTATAATTGCCATGTTCACTCCAGGACATGTCTTGTCTTCGTTCACTTTGGGGAGCTCTTGTGTATCCAAAAAGAAATGAGAGAATTGGCCAGCTTTTATTCCGAACATTCCCCTAGAATCTGCTGGGATTTCCTATTGGAAGCCACCAACATCTCCCACCTGGGACCACTGCCACCTCTGATTGATTGTTCCTTGCAAGCACTCCACCCCACCCCATCCTGCCATCCCGTTCTCTGCAGGTCAGCCCAAGTGACATTCACATGGTGACTGTAATCAAGTCCTGATGACCTTCACCAGAAACTCAGGTATTACTTCAGTGTTTTTTCTGTTGCCCTGAGGATGGGCACCAGAATCTGCCACACATTCTCTTCTGTCTCAGCACATGTTCCTTTTTCTCCCATCTCCCTAGGCTCCAGCCACACTATGTTGTATTCACCTTTAAAGCCTCCATGTCAGATGTCACTTGTTTAGAAAAACCTTCCTTGAGTTCCCTAGACTAGGTTGTATCCTCCTCCTCCTGTTATGTTCTGCCACACCAACATGTACCCTTTCTTCAGAGTAAATGTCAGAGTTGTGATTGCCTATTTATTAAAATGATTATTTTATTAATATCATTCTCCCACAACAGTCTCCATTGGAGTA